CAGAGTATAGCCATCAATGGAGGTCACGTGGTCTAAAGACAAGCTCAGATATCAGAAAAAATAGCTATAACTGCCGTTTTTGTGGTAAAACAGAATATATTACATTTCTATGAGTTATTCACAATGTTTTTATTGTGAAATATAGATCCCATACGAAGAGTTATTATCCCTTTAATCTTTTTAAATATATTTATTCACCCAGCTAAAGTAAGATTCAGATAAATTCAATAAAGGGTTCAAAACAATGGCAAAAATATATACTATATACTCCCCTTTCTTTACCTGAGCAAATTTTTGGCCAGTTATTTTCTGGGGTAATAGCAAATTTAAAGCAAAGTCCACTAAGCCCTCTCTATAAAATTTAACCAGGAAACCAAGCTTCATTACACTGTATCCTTCTGACCAAAACCAAATGGTTAAACTGTTACTTCATCCATGGAAAATTCAAATTCAAATTCAATATCTAACTCAAAACAATGACAAAAATATATTCCTCTGTGCTTTTCCTTAAGTAATAAATTTTTGGTTTAACACCCCATTTCCATAGATTAGATCGACCTACTTTAGAACGACCTAACTCCCTGGGGGTTCACGCTAAATAGCTGTCAGCAGGGCGGACACGAAAGTTAATTACCTCCTTACAGCTTGTAGTAGGCAGGACGGACATTTAAGTCGGATTATCTGAAAGTAATCTAGTGAGACTCCCCGCGGGGATAGATCGATCTAAAATCTATGGGAATAGAGCCTAAGAGACCTTGTAGTGAAGTCCACTCTCAATACTACATCCTTCCGACCTAACTACAATAATATTATTCCTTCGTCCATGGAATTTCTTGGCCATCTACTATCAGACTGTGGATTATTCCCTCTCTTTTCTTCCCACTGCTCACTGCCTTCACGTAACAACTGTGCTCCCCAATGGCAAAGTGGGTCTCTGTTCCATCATCTGTAAATTCACCCTGTGAAACAAAATATTTATTATCATTATTCTTATTTTATTTTGGTATCTTCTATATCCAGTATGCATCCTTTCACCAAGCCAGAATAAGTTTTTTCAGCATTTGAATTTCAATTTGGAAAAACTTAATAGTAGTTTGAAAAAAACAATATGTATCGCACTTACATGATGATATATAGTACATACGTATACACCATGAGTTGCATCAAAAGGACCTCTATTTTAAATCCCACCATCTAGTTATGGAGTGCTTAACTCAGCAAAAATATCCGAAAAAAGAGAAAATTAAAAATAATCATGTGCTTCATATAATCCCCCCTGCAGTAGAATATTTTCAAAGTAATAGTAAACTGTACTCACAGTGGTGTCCAGTTTCTGCCCATTCACCCATATATCTAAAGTATCCTTTTCTGAAAAAAAAATTACATAGTGAACAGACCATTTTTTTTTTAATTTTTAGTCAGTGACATATATCAGTACAATAAAATATTCTGAGCATAATAACACAAAAATACTATACACTTGGAAAAATAAAATCCCCAATACTTTCCATCTCAATTTTGATATAATTAAAATATTTCCAAATTTAATATCAAAACTGAGATAGTAAAATAGGTCCTTTTATATGGACCAATCTGTACATGTACTAAGTATAAAAACTGTCATAGCTTTTTTAGCATTCTACTCAGTGTTTGCCTCTTAGGAAAATTAGTTGCTGGACCAAAAGTCCAGCCATCTTGAAAAGAAGCCGGACCCAATGTCTGTCAGGTGGGAAAACTTCTCGGACCGTTCTGAAAGTTGTCTACCCTGGGCAGACGGTCCAGTGTTAATTTCGAACACTGATTCTACTAACCTAAAACAATCCTAGTTGGGACATCATCCAAAGTCATCACCCAACAGTTCATAATTTTACTCTGATTTTCTGAGAACTTTTGTAGGCTTTTTCCGTTGACTTCGATGGTGTATTCATACATGAAACCACTGACAGCATCAATGTTTATTTTACACTTGGTCTTGCCAATTTGAAAAGTTTCTGATCCCACAAGTTTGAACATCCAGTCAGTTCTTTTTACTTCCTATAAAATGAAAAATATATCAATATCATAATGTATAACAATGAATATATTGGTAGGTGAATTTTCTGAGTTAAGGATTTTAACATTCTGAGTTTTCTCCTCTTCATCACTTTTTCATTGACAATTTGAAAAAAAAATACTGTCAATTCTTCCAACTTCACAGTATTTACAGTAAGTTTTTTCAAATAAAAAAATAAGGTTTTAAACGTTGCATTTTTACCAGTGTTGAGTTATGATGTGGGGGTGTAAAAGCATACCGAGTTGTGTGTGTATGCATGCGTGTGTGCGTGTGTGTGTGTGTGTGTGTGTGTGTGTGTGTGTGTGAAACTGGGGCCTGGTATATTCTACCTTTCCATCCAGCCATATGACCCTCTTCCCTGTTGTCGTACCATGTTCAAATTCTACCTTGTGAACTCCATCACTCAATGCCACCTCCCAAACAGCAACAAGATCTGACATCCTGGGGCAGGCTGAAGACTTCAAAAGCATTTAAATTATTTTACGAAGCATATTCATTTTTAATGAAATTTTGTGGATGAACTAGAAACGGCAACCAATTTCATTAAACACTACACATGCCTGATGTCTTATTTTTCTGAAGTCATTGCGACCGAAAAATGACTTTAAAATAACTAGATCAGGCCAAGCTTCCTCAATACATTTAAAGCTTGAGCCTCTTCGACAATGAACTGCGAAAGCGAACATCAAATGAGTAATAAATTTTCAATGAAATTTTGTGCAATGTAAAGAT